CTTAACTCAGAAATTTACCTTTACGGTCTTTTACGGTTTTACCCCTATTTGCACTGGCAAAATTTCTGTCAGAAATTTATCCTCTACTTAACTCAGAAATTTACCTTTACGGTCTTTTACGGTTTTACCCCTATTTGCATTGTCAAAATTTCTGTCAGGAATTTATCCTCTGCTTAACTCAGAAATTCACCTTTACGGTCTCTACTAAGCTATTTGCACTGTCAGAAATTTATCCTCTACTATTTGCACTGTCGAAATGCCGGTGAGTTTCCTACTAAGCTACTAGTAGGGAAGGTGCTCTTATCACCCCCCCTGGTACCCGGAGGCCGGGTTTGAAAAAGAAAAAGGGGGGGGGGAAGAAACACCCCACCTGGTGCCTCGAATTCCGGCTTAAAAAAAGAAAAAAGGAAAAAAAAAAAGAGGAAAAATAAAAGAGCTGTTTCCTGCGTAACTCGCCAACACCCTAAACCCTGTACTAGCCCTTTCTTCTGACTACAGTCTGCCATTTGGGCTCTGCGGTGAATCTGGCGATGCTATCTTTTTAGTCTCTGACTGTAGTGCTGCCATTGTCTATTGGGGGTCTCTCCCCTTCTTGTCCATGAGCCCACGTACTTATCATGAGGGGTCTAAATTGAGGTTGAGGGGGTGGGAGAGGTGTTGTCCATCATGAGGTTGGCTATTGGGTATGCCTGTGCCCCTTCTTCCCATAGGTTGAAGAAAAGGCTCTGTCCTCTAATGTCCGCCACTTCGCGTTTTGCCAGGTGATTTTCTTCGAACTTTTCTTTTGAAATCTTGTGCCCTGTGTTCCCTCATTTTCTTTTTCACTCTGTTCCACAGGACCCAGTTTTCTCTTTCTATCTGCAATTGGCTGAGACAATCTTGTGCTACTTCGACATGGAGGGGTTTCTCCCTCTGATCTTATGGATGGATGGTTGGTCATCCTGACAAGACCAGAGTACACGCAGGTCGAAACGCGTTGAGGAATTGTGTACAAAAGAGGTGTGGTGTTTGACGAAGGTTAAGTTCAGTTGGTTTTCAAATTGCGCTTGCTTTGGTCCTCCGTGTGAACAGTGTGTGCTGTTCTACTTTGCCCTGAATTCTTCTTCTTCTTCTTCTTCTTCTTCCTCCTCTTCCTCCTCCTCTCCTCCTTCCTCCTCTTCCCCGTTCTTCTTCTTCGTCGTCGTCCTCCCCCTTCTTCTTCTTTCTTCTTCTTYTTCTTCTTCTTCTTCTTCTTCTTCTTCTTCTTCCTCCCCCTCCTCCCCTTCTCCTTCTTCCACCTCCCCCTTCTTCTTCTTCTTCTTCTTCCTCCTCCTCCTCCTCCTCCTCCTCCGCGTCCTCCTCCTTCCTCCTCTTCCCCGTTCTTCTTCTTCGCCGTCATCCTCCCCCTTCTTCTTCTTCTTCTTCTTCTTCTTCTTCTTCTTCTTCTTCTTCCTCCCCTTCTTCTTCTTCTTCTTCTTCTTCTTCTTCTTCTTCTTCTTCTTCTTCTTCTCTTCCTCTTCCTCTTCCTCCCTCTTCCTTCCTCTTCTTCCTCCTCCTCTTCCTCTTCCTCTTCCTCTTCGTTTTTTTTTTTTCTTCACGAAAAGAGTACCTGTTTACATGCAGTGCCTACAACAGTATGCAGGGGGCTGCTGTGTTTGGGATGTCTGTGCGTGTGTGTTTTCTAGAATGATGACAGACTCACCAACGTGACTCACTGCTTCTGATGGTGGTTTTGAAGTTCGAACCTACAGTTGTAATGACCCGCCCAAAACACAGACTCAGAACACTGCTGATTTCTGGGATTTGCCAATGGAATGGATGCCTTGCTGTGATTCCCGCATTCTGCTGTGGTCCCAAGTCTGTGTGTGTGCATGCCTGCTGGTTTGCATGCCTGTCTGAGTGCTTGCCGGATGTGTGTGTGTGCGTGCCTGCTGGGTTGCATGCCTGTCTGAGTGCTTGCTGGTTGGGTATGTGTGTAACCCGCCAGGGTACTTGTTGGTTGCAAGGCCCACCGGGCCAGTACTTACCTGTGGCTGTGACTTTGGAGGGTTGCAGGGGGGTAAACATGCCAGTAGCGGGGAGTAGGCCCACGGCACTTAGAGCAGCTGGGGAAAAACACTCAAGTAGCAGGTAGGCCGAGCAGAAGAAGACAAAAAGTTGGCATTTTAGAGGCCCAGTAGCGGTAGGTTAGAGGTAGGCCGGTACCAGTCCAAGTAGCCCGGGTCTAGGGCTTGTGCGGACAATAACAGAGCCTGCAATGATGTTTCCCTCCAAAAGGGAGGAGGTACC